GCGGACTTAATGCCCTAAGGCATTGTCTAACAGTCAACCATAGGGCAGTGCAGAGAATTCTTGCGGTTGGTGCGAAGCAAGGACACAGAGTCCTAGAACAGGATGAAAGGGGAAAGAAAAAGGAAGAAACAAACACGATTCTTTACACATAAATAAATAGATATGCATAAAATAAGTTACCGAATACAATAAATAATACATGTTAAGTATGGATATATTGAAACATACATACTATAATATACAGATATATATATATATATACATATATAAATACTATAATTTAAACAATGTTTTTGTGCTGGATATACAATTTATTGAGGATGGTTATAGATTAACAAGCAGCACTCTATGACTAATAAGAGCAGCAGCAAGGTGTGTAACGCGTATGAGTTATTGCAGCTAGTGTATAAACAGACATATTTTATTGAAAAAAATATATATTTTTAATAGTTACCATAGTCTTAATAGCTTTGAATAATGTTATAATATATCTTCTGTTGTCAGGGGACCCGACGTAATCACGCCGATAATGGAGTGTCGAATCACGTTAAACGAGATCCCTCTTGTCTAGCCACTATCAGCTATGTAACAATAGATTCCATTAGCGTTCAAACAATTGGGACTGCCACCTAAACTATTAACTGATACTTTATACTAAACCAACCTCTGACGAATGTTTAACCTAGCCTAGCGAGGTAGATTATGTTTGGAAGATTTCTAAAGGTATTATTTATTTATTTTAATACTTTTTACGCACAATAGCACAATAACGAACCCAATTCTGAAGGCATTTTATTCCAGTCTACCTTAGGGTGAATAGAGATAGGTCATGTTAGGTGCGACATCTAAAAGAACAAAAGAATAGCTAACTATATCTACTGGTTTCATTTTCTTCTAACCCCCATTAGAAACTGAGATACAGAACTTTGAGTGATACTGGACTTCTTATACTCTTTCTCTGTCCCTACAGGACCTACATATCTATGTATGCTTAATCTTTAAAACTAGTCAAAAGATTTTGATGCAGTTTTTTAAATAGATCTATTGAGTAAAGAAGAAGATTTGAATTTTTAATAACATGCATTATAAAGTGGATGAATTTAGTATCAGCATTACACCCGTGCGAAGCATTTCGGGTCGCTAGTTAACTATACACTGAATAATATTTTACAAGTGCACTTTGCACTCTACCATGAAATAAGTATATTACGTAATAAATATGAAACAAGAGCTTGGTATCGTTGAAAAAATATGGCGGCGTGAGAACGTGCCGTGGCTATTTATCGCTGCTCGCTCGCTATAAGTCAACTGTCACCATAATCGTTTGTTTCATGCTCACTTTGCCGTCCGGAGTGGAGTGTATGGAATTGAGAGTTACTTGCACATTACGCAGAACAACCCGTCTCGTTACATTTCTACAGTATAAGTGCCCTACGTACCTACTCGTACAACGTATTTTACTCGCTGAGATGAGAATTGTTTTAAACATTAAATCAGTTTCACGAACGTGTCTGTAATATTTCTTTGCGTGTTATTTTCTGTGCGTCGACTGTAAAAGGCATGTATTTTGGAAATGTTCATATTTTGTACGTCATCTTGGTTCTTGATATATAATTTTAATAAAAACCGCCGACATCTTGGCGAAAGTTTAACCTTTATAAGGTATAATTATATTTAAAAAATATATTTAAATACTAAAAATTGTATACAGTATTGGCAGACTTAAAAATCCAAGAAGGAATAATCCTTTAGATGGTAAAGTTGCATACGCCCTCACAATAGGTTAAACTTGTAACATATTGCAAAGTCCGTAGTTTTATTCAATACTTTGTCCTCTACTTCCGAACTCCAGGAACGGGTGAAGTTTTCTTGCCACTGCTGTTATGATGTAACACACCATATCATGTTCCTGGCAACTATTGTAATAAAGGACTAGATTCTCAATTTTATATACGGTACAGTTTGTCAATACATATTTGGATAGATGTATAAGACAAGGATATATGATAAGCCACTTTACGAATGACTTACTTACCGAAATAAAAACTAGTATTTATGTACAAGCGTAGATTGAGTTGAATAGAACAATAGCTATTATGATTGCAGTATGCCAGAAATTTGCTTATTAATTCTCTACTATCAAAATTTATTTAAAACAGTATCGATCCCAACTTAAGTGGCAAAAGTTGTGGTAAAGTTCGTCAACTAATATAATTAATAAAATCAAGCAAGATAGAAGATTGATAGCGTTATTTTAATTACACTATCGTTGGTATTTTCCCATCTAAAGACTACGTGAACATTCTCACGCCGGGAATTTGGTAGAGAGTTAAGTTAGCGAACACTGAAGACTTTAGTAATTGCGCCTTGGAAGTGTATCGGAGATCGGCAAAGTTTTCAACTCAACACATAGGTAGGTCTCTCCAACACGTCCTCGCTTCCCAACTTACCCTTAACGGACTCTGATCGGAAACTCAGCCAATTTATTAGTGGCACCCCGCGGGGAAACTCGTATTAGTTACCCCACACATCATTTTGTGACTCTGTTGCTAGCGATAAAGTAGATGGCGTTCACACAAAACAATAATTAGGTAAGTTTTTACTTCGTTTTCCTTGCGAGTTTCTTGAAAAGTAAAGAATATTTTCTACTTTCCTGTAGGTACCGAATAGCAGGCGATACCCAGCTACCAAAATTATTTCCTATAAACTACTTTTATCACCAAATAGGTTACATATATGTGTGATATAACGCTTCAATCGCTGGAAAATGACCCCTCATATAGAAATTCTAGCGTTATAGTGGCTCTATTGCACTTCCACTTAGGATTGCCTAGGGTTATAAGTAAGATATCTGTAGGTATTTGTTTGTGTTTCTCAATTATGTATTACGTCTTTAAAGCCGCGACACGAACAGGTGATAATATAGATTTTACAAGTAACTAAATACGCTACCTACTTATTATAAACAACTTAATACAAGAATAAAGGACACGTTTTAAAATTATACATACGACACCATAATCAAAAATTTGTTCATATTTACTTCATTCAATCATTTTAATGAAACAAAACAACAAAAATTAAAGACAGTAACAAAAATCGTACCAATCGAGTTAATCATGAATCGATTTCAAGTGGCTCTTTTCTTAATGCGCTTTTAAAATAACTTTAGAGTATTAAGTAAGATGTAAGGAAACTTTCACTGTAAAGTTTTAAATGTCTCTTCAGTAAGTTGGTGAAGTCGCCGGCACACTTACACAAGGCCTTATTAAAAATACAAAACTTGTCGACTTGCTTGCCGTTAGTCATTAGACACTGTGGAGGCAAAAACTTTGGGACACCCGGCGCTTGCTAAATGTAGATACATTTTTCTTGTGAAATTTCAACCGAGATTAATTGACACAACTTTGTCATAAGCTTTTAGGGATGTTTTATTTTGCGGAAGCATCGCTGTTCACTTACTTCTAATTAAATATTGTCGTAATTTATATTCTTACTTAGGTAATAAAGAGTGGTTTTGGATGTTTTTAAAATATTTATCAGATTCGTTAAAGTCACAAATAAATTAAGTTAAATTTTACAACACATTTAAAGGTACTATAATAAGAGTTTCCTTTTAGCCACCACAAAGGTTATAAGCTATATTTTTTTTTTACTAAATATTAAACCTACTTGTTGATAAGTGTGTAAGTGTTTAGGAGTAAAATATTCAAGAAGCGCGCGTGTCTAAACGCAGTGGAGTCATTCGCCCCGGGGTGGTAGCAGTAAATATTAACTTGTTCACTCGCGTATCGCTTTCTTGTAAAATATAGGTGAAGTTAGAGTAGTTTATTTAATGGAGCCGTCGCCAAGTTTCGCTTGTACTCTACTAACACCCAATCCCCAAGCAATCTAAAGACCGATCAACGGATCTGTTGATCTAACTCTCGAGAACACGAACTGTACTTACAGTGGGATACAAAATAAAATTGAACAATGTATCTTTAACGATAAGATGGTCATTATTTGTTAAGATCTTCGGTATACTCTCCTTGTATTACGCGATAGTAAAAATTACGGTCGGTATATTTTGATTAATGTTCAAACGTACTCGTAGTCGATGTTAGTACATCAAGCTTCTGTAATCTTTTAAATGTCTCTAGCAGTTTTTGAATTTTATTGTTGTTATATATACTTGAATATCTATAGATCCTACAGACCTAGTAGTTTATTACAATATTTTTTGATATAAATACATAGCATCTATTAATTACTAGGAAGTCCTTATTTTGTTCAATTTAGAATTATTAGATACTGGGATAATTAGTCGAATTTTATAATAAAATTGAACTATAACCAATTAGGAGTAAAATTCAATTTGTATGACGCTGAACAATTATAACCACAGACATCAATTATCCTATTTTAAGCCTCGCAAATACTATAGATACTTTCAATATTTCATCTAACAACGAATTCTGTTAATTGGCTATTTTGGTTGAAGTATTTTAATGGAAAACCATTTCATATGCCATGCGGCACATAGTGCTGTTGCGAAGCGTGTTAAAAATGTAATAGTACCAATGTGCAGGGAAATGGCGAATCGAGGTATTGGTCAATATGAATACAAAAAGCACAGTTTTATTGCTTTGATTTATTTTGTCCATTTGCCAGAGAGTTTTCAATAGGCATGTTTAACATGAATCCGACAAACGATTCGATTTTATCGTGCTTCAGCGGTTCGTAGTAGTTTGCTACGATTTTCGTAGTAAAGTGCTACGAAAAGTATGTATGCATTATGTATATCATATTTATTTATACATATATAGCGACTGATTTCTTACCTTAACAACAATGCTTATGTATTTGATCCTTACTAAGTAATATTTGCAATTTAATTAGCAGGACTAATTTTATAAATGAATACAGACTAGCTGTAGGTTTACGTACTGCCTACGTTGAATCGAAATCATGCATCTTTATAACAGAACTGACAAGAAAAGTAACAGTGAACTTCTTACCTCAATCCTGGTATAGTAGTGAGTAGCTGCCCTTCAGCTGTGACCCAGTGTATGTCCGGGGGTGGATGACCTGTCGCCCGGCACAGAGCGTGTGCGCCGCGCGTCGCCGGCCACAGTACTCGCGCGGGCGGCTCTGTGACAAACCGTGGCCGCTTGTCGCTTGCGCTTACAGCTTCCAGTAATGTTATAGTGATGACAATCCATGGCAGCAAGTACTCTGTAATAAAGTTTGTACTATAGCTTCAATTTTTTGTGAGATAGAAGTAAGCTTCAAGTGGCGTTGTTTTATCAAATCTATGGTAAAAACTTTTTTTTCTGTTCATACCATTGAATTTAGTTTCAAAAGTCAAAAGTCAAAAGTCAAAATCATTTATTCCAACTAAACCATAAATAGGTACTTTTGAAACGTCAAAATAGAAAAGTAGTCTGTCAGTCTGTTCGTCAGTGAAGCTAGGTGCTCATTCCAAATTGTAGATTCGAATGGAGAAGAACGAGCAAGAAACTCCATTCGTTACTCTTTTTTTTAAAAAAAATTGTTTTACAATTTCAATAATATAACATTTATAGTATACATTAGTGTACCCTTATGTGAGAACAATGCAGAGACAAGTTGTTAAAAAAAAAGAACAAATGAGGGGACCTATCAATCAAAAAGATAGCCTCAACTTCAGTTCGATTATAACATAATGTTTTTTTTTTACTTATTCTGGTGAAATTAAATGCCCTTAGAACCGGGTTTCAGCCAGGGTTGTGGATGTAAGCGCAATGTACCGCGCCCCCAGACCGGGGGAGTCGAAGCAACAGGGTAGGTTTTAGTCAGTAAGAGTCTGACACTCCCTCTTACCCTAACCTGGGTTAATACAACAGATGGAAAATATGATGGTAAACTCAAAAAATAAAATAAAGGGCAACTTTGAATAAGACGATAAGATACCATTTCATTATTTATATTACGAAAAAAAACTTCAAGGAAAATTGACAAAGTGGTAGTCTGTTGGTAGACATGTAATTTAAACCTGAGGATTTCTTTATACTGAAAGCAATTATATTATTACAAAACTTTATAGAGTTTTCACTACTTTGAAACGATAAATTCAACAAGTAAAAGTAAAAATCTTCTAAGAAATCATTAATGTTCATTCAAACCGAATTTAAATTAGTTTATACATGAGGCAACTTAGCTTAGTTAAGTTTAAAACAAAATCGTCGAGGGATTATTTAAGAAATAAATAAAAAAATACTGTTATACAGTTTTTAACTAGAACGTACATTTTATGCACCAAAGAAAAAGGTAATTTGTTTATAAGAAATATATGTTTAATGCTTTTATAATGTTGAAAGTATGTTTAGAATGCAAAAAAACGACGATACGAATTTTCTCTGAAACAGTTAATTGCAGACACGAAATTATATTACCTAGATATACTTAAGAACCTCTTTATAAAAAACAACATTTTGCTCATTTATTTACCTTATCCGCGCTTCAGTCATTAAGCCAAATTCACAAACATGAATTTGGATAAATTCTCGCTACAGTACTTGAGTCAAAGTACGCATCCATCCTATTTATAACAAATCCGTTTAGCCATCCAATCTTTCATAATTACAAATTAATATCCATTAAATTAATATTGTAATAGCAATTAATTAGAAAACTTTTACGGCACATAAATCATAATAACAAAGCTTACAGAAATACGAGACCGGTTTACGAAATGTTTGTTTGAGAAAGTTTAGTTTAAATTTCCTTTGGCACGTTTTAATATTCTGCATCGGAGTAGCTCAAAGTCGAAGGCATAATCCATCAAAAGTGAACCAGAACGAATGAACTCTCGGATCGAACGCTGAGTTGCGTTTTAAAACTTTATAAGAGCGCTTTGTATAAAAATTTTGAAGTCAGCAGTTTTATGGTAATTCAAACTGCCTTTTACAGTAATTCGTCATTCGAGAACTAAATATAAAACGTTTTGAAATCAAGCTCTATTAGTATTTAGAGACATATTCCATGTTTTATGAATTTTAAACTCAAAAGGCTCTCTTCTCTTCCACAGAAGTCAAGTCTTCTGTTATTCAGCCAGGGTTGCGGGGTAAGCGCAATAAGGCACTGTGACCTCGGCCCACAGCAGGAGAAGGAACGGGGGGGTTTTTAGTCAGTAAGAGTCTGACACTCTCTCTCGCCTTACCCTGGACGGGAGAAGTCATTGGATGATTTTACCCTGACAAAAAAAATGTCTTCTGTTATATTTTCATTTAAAAAAAAGATTTTCTCCTCATCAGGGAACTGCCCTGCCCTGTCATGAAAAATACAGTGAAGATATGATAATTTTTACGTTTTAAGATTTAGCGGCAGTGTCGTTCATAGAGGGTCGTATCATAAATCAGAGCGCGTGAACGTCTATCCTGAGAGCCACCGGTTTATTTACTGCCGAGCTGCCAACGACCCAATTGCTAAGAACATAGCTCAGCTTTTAAATTGAGAATTTACTTCACACTAGTGTTAAAATAAAATAGAAATGAGGTTTTATTACTCATGCATAATTTTTATATTTCTGGCTGGTGGCATTTTGAATTAAGAATGAATTATTTCTTCATCTTGATAAAAAATTGCCTTCATAATGTTGAAAAAATAACGGTGTATTTTTATTTATAATTGACTACATAGGTACTACCTACGTAATTGAATAACTTAAGCGCAGATTGTTTTTTTTAAAAATAACACACACACATTCTCAACTCTATGAAATGTGTAAGCTGTAGGTAATAATGCGGTTATTTGGTTTTAAAAAATTACTGACAGAACGAACACATTACCTATTATATTACCTACCTCACTAAGAGGACTGACCGACAGACTGACACTATATCTTCAAAATTTTGTTTGGCGTTCAAAAGTGCCTGTAAGGGTCTAATTGGCATAAATTATTTTTTATTTTGATTTTTGGACTACCTTGCAAAAATGGTGTTAAAAGAACATTTTTACTACAACGCCTTGCTTTTATTTTAAACTAATTAAATTTTGTTGTCTTAAAAAAATGTATCAAATATTTTCAAAAGATATATACCTATATTCGTTCAATGAATATCCTTAGGGTTGGAGTACTCTAAACCACAGAAAACACAAAATATTCTAGAAAGCAAAATTCGAACTCGAAATTCTGTTAAACTATTGCAAAGTTAAAAGCCAAAAGTTTTAGAACTAAGGTTATAAGTATTTTAATATTTTTACAAAGGCGCGTAGGCGAGGTAGTTTTCTTGTTCAATGTTGTTTGAACAGAGTTCTTGAGCACATAAAAAATAGAAGCGCTATTCCTCAACGATTAATGTAACTTACTAAAATTAATAAAATGGAAAACTAACCTTTCATTATTTCCACAATCACTGTACAACGATTTCCAAACTATCCATTTAAGTCATGATTCAAACACAGCCATTAAAATTCACATGCCTCTAAAACTCACTGCAGTTCCGTTATTACATTTTAAGTCACAAAAATTTACTCGCACATTTTTCGTTCGAAGTTTTCCCTCCAAAAGTGGTTGGGGAATCAACACGTGTGCCTTGGGCCGCGTTCAAACGCCGACTGGCGCCAGCAGATTGAAACCCGCCCTAGAGAACTCGACTACCCCCAACTGACACTACTCTAGCCAACTTAATAGCAACTTAAGTTTGATTTTATGTGCGACTGAAACGTTCTTGCGGTCAAGCTGCTTTAACTTTTGAATAATTATACGAGATAGTTTGAAATACGTACTTAGTACTGAATTTATGTTTCGTTAACTTAACGATTGTATTGTTTTAAGTTCTCAAAATTGAGTTTCAATAACCGTTAGTAAAAAAAATAGTTTTTCATTAAAGACCAATGCTGTTGGAATTTTTTAACATAAAAAAATAAACAGCAAAATTCTTTGTTGTAAATATTTTTATCAAACATTTCCTTTCTCCAAAAATGTTTTTCCACTAAGGTAATAAGATACGGGAAAACAAAGTCATAAATATTCCGATAATTAGATTTATTGATTACCTACACATAATAGTAGAAAATAATGAAATTGTTTTTCCACATTGCAAAACGTGTTAGATAATGTACTCTGACGAAAATATGTTTGGATTAAAATAATGGTTAGGTTAGTGGAAGGATTATAAATCAACAGTTCACTAAGTACTATTTACCTACTATCTTGGAAGTGTTCTTTTTTTCATTAAGTATAGAATAATTCGGTATAATCTATTATAATATATAAGACTTTATTTGCTAAGTAAGTGTGTATTAAGGGCCCGCCTTTATTTCGCATAGGTGTCCATCTCCGTTTATATTATTTATTTTTTTATTACTGAACCGCTACTTCTTCGTTTGGGTTAGCAGTTTACGATTTTTCCCTATACTTCAAAAAAAAGTCTTTAATAAGAACCTTCTCATGATCTAAGATAATAATAGAAAAAAAAAGAATTATCAAAATCGGTCTAGTCGTTTTTGAGAGATGACGAGCATGACCAAGAAAAATTGGGATTAATTTTTACATAGACTATAGTTTTCTGCTTTATTAAGATCTAGTTAATGTCAAATTATTATACATATGTCTTGTACATTCTCAAGCTCTTTTATTTTAAATATCTTATAAGAATATAGTTTTAACTATACAGTACAGCAAACTGGCCCCTAATGTACTCCAGCCTTTGTCTCTCTTGTCCTTAAAACCACATAAAGGAGATATTACCAACAACTGGTTACAAAGCTTGGTTTGTCTTATTTCAGTTCGCCATTGAAATGGAAACATTTAATTGCAAACGGGCAGCGGGCACAGTTGCATTCAAATCGGCTCATACCGGTTATTACCGGAGCAGACCGCTTCGAAGTTACAATGCGATTGTAAATGTGGGTACACTGTATAAGAAAATGATTCCGTTGTACGATTTCGGTTGTAACTTCTAATGTTATAAGGGTTATTTCTTTTCTTAGCTCTTATAAGGAGCTGAGCTTCAATATTATTATCATGTAAGGGGTTTTTTAAGATCAGGTTTAGTTTTCATTTCTCTAAATAGGCGTATAGATAGAACTAGCGACCCACCCCGACTTTGCACGGTAGTAATGATAATACTAAATGTATTCACTAATCACTCTACCTATTAACAAACCGCAACAAAATCCGTTGCGTAGATTTAAAGACTAAGGCATGCAAAGGGATATAGGGACAGAAAAAACTACTTTGTTTTCTACTATGTTGTAATTAAAAACAATTGTGCAGAAAAGTTACCATATGTATTTTTTAGCCTAAAAACACAACAAAACACAACAGATGCATAGGGTCCAATAAAGCTGATGTGCAGCTGGGGTTGCGCGCCATGCGCAATAATGTTCCTGCATTCCCGCCTTGAAGGAGCAGGAGAAGGAACAGGGTATGTTTTGATTAGTAAGAAAATCTCTGAAACTCCCTCTCACTCTCTCGATCCCCATAAGAGAAGATAATCCCTTTCAAAAAAAACTAATAACGCACCTTATAATAAATAGTTCTTTTAATGAATGAAGATAAGCGAATAGTAATATATTTTGCATTATAAATTCAAAAACTTACACTGTATTTTACTATATTTATACTTTTATACTATTTATACTAATTTATACTATTTATACATACTTATTATTATAAATGCGAAAGTAACTCTGGCTGTCTGTCTTTTCTTCGCTCCTAAACTACTGAACTGATTGCTTTGAAATTTGATACAGACATAGTTTGGAACTCGAGAAAGGACATAGGATAGTTTTTTTATCAAAAATAGTCACTGGCAAAAGCAAGTAGAAAAATAAAATTTTAATATCGTAAAATCAATGAATACGTGTGTGATTTTTATTCACCAGCGCTCGAATTGCTACGAACACGCCTTATATGTATAATATAATATTGTCATCAATGAAATATGAAACTCATGATGACTTAAGTCTTGGAAGACTCGAAAGGGAAAAACTAATACGAAAAACATTAGTAACATTAACATCTTTTTACTCTTAAAACTATAACTTTAAGGCACACTTCTTATTAAACATTTAATTACATTATTCAAATGGTTCCGAAATAAATGGCGTCCATAAAAGCCTTTGCTAAAATAGAATAATTCTATTAAAGTGTTCGAGGACGATGATCGTCGTTGTCGCCCGGCGCGCATTAATTTATTGGACCCCAGTTAAACAAAAGATTACCTGTTTAATGCCCAGAAAGTATCTTATTGACATTCATGACCCATTTACGGCTTTGCATTTTTAGTAGATGAAGTTCAAAGATCTTAATCAACGATGGAATCTCGACGGTATATTATGTAATTAATTTTACCTTTTATCACTGAGCAAAAGGTTAAAATTATAAGTATTTTATTACCTGATATATACTGATGTATCTTCTTTTTATTACTTTTGCGTTTCAACAAATTAAATATGATTTCTATTTGCCGCGAAAGCAAAACATACAATATATAAGTAGGTACAAATGATAAAACACTAAATTTGTTCTTATAGAAGAAAAGATTTTAAAATAAATTTTACAACCAAATGTAAATACTTTTTTTCGTTATTCGAAATTTAAAAATATGGTATGATTTTCTTTTTTATTGTAGAAGAAAATTATAAAATGTATAAACGAAGGGGTTTTAATTACACTGGCCATAAACACACTTTTATTCAAAATTAAAAATTTAATCGATATAAAAGCAAGCTGATTTATTTTTGTCACTGGCTATCAACCCGTTCTCTGCTCCATCTAATAAGTAGGCATTACGAGGTCCCTCAAGATTATCGATTCCTTATTCAATTCATCTCAACAGCCCGATTTGGCCCAGAATGGCGGACAAAGTTGAAAAGCAGAACATTAATTTTGCTAATGCGTTTGCCGTATTCACAGATATTACATTTCACCTGCTATAACACCAAAATGATACTAAAGAATCTCTTTTCGTATTTACATTTCGCCAGTTATTGAAACCATTTATTTTCATGTTTTTATTTGCGAAGCACATGTTCACACAAATATATGATGAATGTACGAATACGAGAGAATAATACTGATAGAAATATATTTCAATAAAAAATCATATTGGTGATTATTAAAGTACACAAACTGAGATTTAATTTAATTTAAAACGAATATATGAACAGCTGTATATTCAAAAGTCTATCATTTATCGAAAACAATTTTTCTAGGAAGAAGACGTCAATTTATTTTCCTTGAAAGTTTGACTACTTCGTAAACATGAGAATATCGTATGACAAAGGAAGGAATCATTAAACAACGCATGCCTGTACACATCAAAGCTATCAATCAACTCTCATACTCAGTAGACACTTTATTGCATGCCATAATGCGTACATAAAAACGTTTGGTATGTTAGACAAAGAACCAATTTCAACTTTTACAGTAATACATTTTATTAGGAAACATAATATAGGAACTTCTTGTTTAGAAAAAATAAATCAAATAGTCCCTGCAAATTTTTTATGCTACTTATATGAGTCGGTATATATTATATTTTATTGGTCTAATTTTTCTTTATGAATGAAATGGATCTTCAACATTGCCATTAAATAAATATCAAGATGTCTTGATTCCATTTTTTTTTTAAATACATTCCATTTTTAAACATGACTTAAAAGTGATAATCTACTTTCATTTATTCAACCGTAGGTATTATTATTCGTGTTATTTATTTATATAAATTATTTATCAATATATTCAAATTCTGATCCTAAATCTGAAATCTGTAAATTTTTGAAAAAACTGTATATACATATGTATAAAAACCACGTGACTTTCTTATACTACGCAACACCAATCGGCGTTCTATTATTAAAAGTGGTTTGACATAACCAACGTCAGCTGCCGAAGATTCAAATTTAGAAGTACAAATATTCTAGAAATTTCTAGCTATTTCCACAGAGTGTGCCTACATTGAGCTGAATCAGCAAAGTTCGGTTATAGCAGCTTTGGGATCGCTACCTCATGATCTACTTTGAAGGCTGATGCGGGCGGCACAGATTCTCATTGGCAGCGTGAGTGGCGCAAATAATTTGCCCTATCATCACTAAGATTTGCTTATTTTTCATAGTAAGTTTTGCGAATATTGATATAATGTGTTCAGTTGAATTTTCATAGGGCTCCATATGTTTCATTTAGGTTTTCTTGTTAAAAATATGATAGATATGTACGAATAAAACTGACATCAATTTCAAAAATATTTTATTTTGAAAAAACGTAACATTCATAGTTGCATTTCTTCGTATTGAAAAACTAAATATTATCATTTATTATGACGTCACTAAAGTAGAAAATTTAACTGCACGGTTGGCGTGGTGGCTAGGTAACCAACTGCAGCGCAACGCGT